GTCCTTACGAGTGTTCCGTTCCGGTAATGTCAAGCCAACTTCAAGAGTTTATTCCTTTGGGACTTTTTGCTCTTCTCCCTTATCTCGCGGCGCCAAAAGAAAGAGCCACAAACAACACGTGTATGAGAAACTCGTTATCGATCTTTTCCACATTCCCATACGCCATATGCGCCTGTCTGATTGTCGACTCCGAGTCCCTTCACACTGCTCGACTCGGACGTAAGTGCTGTCAATCTCTTCAGGGGTCGGTACGCGCAACTGTAACGGCACCGCTATCTAATCACCGGTGATGCGTGAAATGAAAGCATATCGAACGTTCATGATTCCATCATTTTTTCGTGGATCGCCAAACTTTCGTGGCCTTACTGTGAGCCGAAGTTGCCGTTGCTCGTCCCCCAAGGAACAACGGTGATTCGGGGATGAATAACTTGCTTAGTGCTTGCGCTGACTCAACGTCAGAATCTGACGCTATTATTACTATCTATCTCGGTGGGCTGGGCTTTCGGCCGATACCCGGTCGAGGTGCGTTTCGTGAGATCCTTGGTACACGAACACACCCGAGTCCAACTTGGACGCGGATCCAAACGAAATGACAGGACAAGAATGGCGACCGACTGCGAGTCGTACTACGGATCATCGGGACCGACGTCATGTACTAGACCTGTCGAGACGGCATCAGGCACCATTCCACCTGTGAAAATCCCTTAATCCATTCAAAACCGGCATTCTATTCATGATCAGGCCCAAAGTAAGTAAGTAATGATAATATGCGATGGGGTGCACGTATGGTAGCGTCCGTACGATACATGCTTTTCGTGGGGGGGTATGGTGTGTAAGTATGAGTGAGTGAGTAACAAACTGGTAGTACAAAAGAATTGGTACACAAGAGGAAAAACGCAAGAACCGTCCATCCACGCTGTGCTGCTGTTGGTGGTACAATGTCTAAAAACAGATAATACAAACCAGCGTTGAGTGGAAAGATGAATAAAGATATTGATATATGCAGGCCGTCATGTATCATGTATGTCAATCGGTCTTGTGATGTTGTTGGGTGGCCACGGTTCTATGCGCCTATCATCGTCTCTCCCGTGCCTCCAGCAGCGCCAACGAAGCACCACTGCTTCAAGAACGCCTTGTACAGATCCTCCGACGAAGACGGCGGGCTAGGCGGCTTTTTTCCCACTCGCGGCGTGGGCATAGGTGGGGATGGAGTGGAATGAGGGGGGGATGGAGAATGGACTGGTAGTGCCAGTGGTTTCGGGGTCAGCGGCGGTGACGGTGATCGCGACCTTGGCTTGTGCTCAGGCTCGATGGCGTCTGAATTGAGCATCGAGAAAGGGACCGAAAGACTTGCCGGCTCGACGTACACGGGTACTTCCTCCAATGTATTGACCCGCTCCTCAATAGGAGAGTCCAACGGAGAGCTGCTGCCTCTCGATAGAGCAGGCGTCACTTCTCCATCGCCGTCAGAATGCACTGGGGAACTCGTACCAGTTTGCGGCTTGCGAGAGCCCCAAAACCAGAACACACCAGCACCCTCTGCTTTCTCTGAAGTCGGACTTAGTTGCGTAGGAACAGCATTGGGCTTTGCATAGTTGGCGAGCTTGAAGCCCTTCAGACGATGCTGAAGCGTTGCCTCTGATTGTGCGCGGTTATGTTGAGGGGGAGGGGGCGACACGGGCGACAAAGAAGGTGACAAGGTGGGTGTCGAGGTAGTAGAAGATGGTGGACTCAAGGGCGAGGAAGGGGCAAGTGTTGGGAACGGAACAGAACTCTCGAGAGGAGTTGTTACTGGTGCGTGGGCTTTCTCCGTTGAAGGAGGTGCTTCTGTCGATGAAATCAATGAAGAAGTAGGAACGGGATGAATAGTATGAACTCACGGTTGGGACTCCGTATGAAGGGAGCTTTTACCGGTGCGTGAGCTTTCTCGACCATTGAAGGAGGTGCTTCTGTCGACGAAATCGATGACGAAGCAGGAACAGGATGAATAGTATAAACTCACGGTTAGGACTCCGAACGAAGGCCACACGATAGTTTTTCCCGGCATTGTTGTCCCACCATTCACCTCCATTTGCGGAATAGCGCGCAACGAGAAAGATGGTACGATCAATGAGGGTCGAAGCGTAGTCCTCCAGTTTGATTGTGTATTCAAAGCGGTCCCAGACGGCGGGTCCTCCTGCAGCGACGCCTGCTGCAAGATCACCTACAGTGAGGTTCTTGTTGGACAACACAGGTAACGAAGGCAACGATGTTTGATATCGAGCAGCGACTTCAGACGTCGTCTGCCAATCGTCGAGGGTGAACCTGACGTAGACCTGCTTCTCATACGAAATGTTGCGCACGAGCAGCGTGCCCTTGAGCGCCAGGGTCGACTGGGGAAGAGTTAAGGACTCGAGTATCACGTTACTGCCCTCCCTTGGCGTTGCAGGGCTTGGAACAATGTCGGTAAATGGCGAGAGGGAGTACGCAGGGAGAACCAAAGGGAATGGAAATCGTGGGCCCTCTGCATAGCGAGAAGAGCCTTCGACCTCGGTTTCAGTTTCGGTCTCTGCGTCCGAAGCGGGTATAGTTCGAAGCAACGAAGCAGGTTTCGCAGACCTGTTGAATACACGGACTGTCTCGAGCTGGTGGGTAGGAAAATGGACATTTTTATGGCAATGCGATTCGTGAGAAGAAAGTGCAGGCGTAGATGGGGCCGAGCGAGCACGGGTATGTTGGATAGATAATGATGGCATATCTGGGACCGAGGACGAACGTGGTGAGCCCTTGAGTGAAGATTTGAGAGGGCGGCCATTGGAGAGCAAGACTGGGTTTGAGTTGGTCCGCTGTGGGGGAGAAGGCCGGCTGGGAACCTCCGGGCTAGGGCTCCTGGGTGAGGGCGAGCTTCGTGGGAAAGGCACAGCCAAGTGGGTATCGAGCCGCAATGGCTTTCGAGGTGAGCTTAGCAAACCATGGTCGTCGTCGTCTGAAGAACAGTCGTTCTGGATGTGGAAGACGGGGCGGTGGACCCGTGGGAGCGAGCCGAGCGACGCAAAGGCACCTGGAGAATGGGTATACGAACGGCGGTGAGTGGGACGGCCTGCACTGGGGGTAGGCAGCGAGTAGGGCATACGGGGGGGAGGTGGTGGTTATCGTCAACCAGCAGATACGGCCATTTTTGATTCAGTTTCTTTTCTTTTCAAGGTTCCACTCTGCAATCTCCGATCCTGCGAGGTCGCCCGATTCCATCTCGTGTCTTATCTCCTGGCGCTTCGTCGATCTCATTGGTCGGCTTTCGGCACAGCATCAAAAATTTCAGCCACGCTCTAGACATACATCCCCATTTGGGACTTTTTATACCTTCTTATCTGATCGTGTTACCCCATCAGTTTTGCGTACGCCTTTTCAATTCACACAACATTCACGTTAAAATACTGCTCATGAGTTGCGCAACCGCAGAATTTACCATCGCCACAATCAGGTGTCGTAATACATCCTCAGTAACTAGCTTCGTCTACTCAATTGTCTCAGTGGATGGCTATAAGTAGCCACTACTCCGACTCTTCGGCGCAGAACTGTAACGGTCCCCATCTGCGCCTGTCGGACACGTCCTTCACCCACTGCTAGCTTTTTATTTAAATATAAATATGTCAAACACCCGCCAGCCCCCGCCTCCATTCTACCACTGCGACACGTTCGTTCGTCCAAGGTGGTTAATTCTGTTCATCACATCTTCCTGCGAACCGCAATCAACCCCTTCCGAACCTTGGTATTCTCGGCTGATCCTTCTGCTCCACCTCGGGTTCACGCTCCCACTTTGTGGGATCCTCTCTCGCCATCCTCCCCTAGCAACTGTTTGTCCCTATGTCAATCGACATCGTTGGTTTCTCCGATATTGCTTGTATTCTAAGTGGTCATAAACCTTTCCTCTGATTACCGGTGAGAGCACGTACCTGTAAGTACCTATAACATACGAACAACCAGCATTTTCGCATGCATCGAAGTCACGAATTCAGGCTTAGCCCCTCTTGACGACCCTTTATCTCATTACGTGGAACCATGTTACTGTCTTATATCTTCTTCCCGCATGCAGTGTGTATTTCACTGCGCTGATATCACGCCCCATTGATTGGCCGTCCAACTTTCGGCTTCGCGTGAGACTCCCTCTGACCCACGTATTTTTTGCACTCCCAGTCGGATTCGTATTAACGACGCTTTCCATCTAAAGCAGGACCGCCACTGTTCACATCTATTGATGAACACTGCGTCCTCAGCTCTCCTAGCGACACGTTCACTTCCCGCATATCAGCACTACGCTCAACTTCCCATAGCCAAACAATCGGTTGAAACATCTATTGTTATCACTGCATCTTGGGAATAGCTTAGGAACAAACGAACTCTTCCAAGAACAATTTTATCTTTCTATCCAACCATTGTAGCGCCCCCGATGCATAGGCTTTCGACCAGAATAGCACATGGTTCACTTGACATATTCCGGTATTCCGAATGGTTGATACATGAATCTGAGTTACTGAGTTTGAACGTTATCTTCGTACAAGTCATGGGTCAGTCGCGCATCGTCATCTGTCTCTCGGCCCTGACTTTAGGACGAGCCATAACGTTCGTCTCCTATTCGACCAATGATGTAGTCTTGACCCACGTTCACTAATAGCACTCAACATTCTCGGCACATACATGTACCTTCCGAGTCCGTAGTTACACATAGCTCTGGATCGTTTGTCTAGATTTGTCAAAATGAGCCATATCGATATCTTCCGCCAAGTGACTCCTGTGTATTTGCGTCATTCGTGAAATCGGTACTTCTAGGCATTTGAAGGCTATACTCGCAACTGGCTCGAATAATTTGTCGTCATTTGCATCCCGACTTGACGCGAGGTCCAGCCTAACAGTGTAGTAGCCTATTGGTTCAGCTTCCAACCACAATTACCGGCAACTTGAATACAGGATCATCCTGGGAATGTATAATATATACTAAAAAACGCACAAGGATGCAAGATTAATGGGGGCACCCAGGATTGAACTGGGACCTCCAGAAGATGCATTTCTATTGATAACCGAACTTCAGCCCGTTGCTCTCCCAACTGAGCTATGCCCCCACGAAATGTCTGACCCAATGGTTTCACCAAATTTCTTCGCTCAACTACGTCGGTTTCTACCACGTTCTCGCCAGGCGTCAAATAATCTCCATTGGCACTAATTCCAAGTTAGCTCCTCGTAAAACATTCAAGTAACCGAATACTGATTAAATAAAGAACCTACGTCAGAAAAACATCACCCGAGTCGTTCTTCGTCACCGCGCCGCGTGTTCGTGTTCTTTTCCTTACGCCACACAACTGTGTCGGCGTCGTGAAGCGTCGGTGTTTGGAGTCACGCACGGTGCAAGTGGAGAGGAAGCCGTAAATCTATTGTGTGTGGATTATCGATCATTCTGCTCCATGCGTGAAGCCAAACGCCAAACTTCTGCGACCTTCTCCACGTACAATCCATCCATTGGCTACATCGCCTAATAGCCACCAACGTCAGAAATATCTTCGGCAAAGCGTAAGCGTAAAGACAGTCATCATCTCTCGTGGGATTCCTGTCGTACTAATGTCATGATCAATTACTTGGATACGAATATCTATTGGAACTTGGGAGCACATGCTCGGCTTTCGGACGTTTGGTGTCCCCGGGGCGGGATCGAAGAATGGAGAGCCCGTGCGCTTAGGAGAGGGATAGCAACCTGAAGTGAGGCGGCGCAGTCGAAACTGAAAGCATGGGCGTAGCGGCGGGCTCCGTGGGCAAGGAACCAGGGCCAGCGAAGCATGGAGACGCAGGGTCGCTCAATAACACATACAGGGCTCCGTGGTACCAACCCTTTCCTGCTCCCACGTCACTTTTAACTTTGATACGATAATAATACGAGGACTTTCCGCAGACACTTACGATATGGGTGGAGCGATACTATCCCTAGTGACAACTTCCTGTGCTGACTGCGAACCCCTTCCAATTTGAAGGTGGAGCGAGTGGTACGTTATAGTCCATTGAGATTTCATTGAGTCGAAATGTATAAAAGGCCAAAGCCGAGAGAGATTGGAAATGTACTAGGGGTGATCTCCGGTCCAGGGAGGAGAGGTTGGATTTAGGATGGACGGTTTTGCCAAATAACGCGAACGCGTACCTTAGTAAGGATCGGCTTCCAAGTTGCCGAGTTGTCCTGGCTTACGATCGCATAATCGAGCCTGATGCCCCTCGGCAAAGCCCGTATGTGGTAGGGGTTAGATTATTATAGGATCCAACTCCTATCCTGCTCGGTGGGTCGAATATTCAATCAGTGTCTCGATCCACAACGGATGAAGCAGGCCTACTCAAAACTGGAAAACTGGATTAATTGGCCATCTCCGCTGATACAGCTCAGGTAAATAGAAGTAAACTACTCCTACCGACCTCGATGGCTCATTGTAAGAAGAAGCGACAGTGGTAGCAACATTACCTACTAGTGCATGAGACCGAAGTGATAGCGAATATGCACATTCCCTCTGAATCCTTTCAACGTGATCCTGATCGTCACAGACCAGCTGCGCCTCGTTGACATCAGCTGCAGATGATGTCGACCCGGGATAACGAGGTCAAGAAATATGGCTGTCAGTCTGCAATGGCGTTACAGAGTGATAAATGCCGATGGAGGTTGCAAGGATGCATGGAACACGAGGAAATGAACTGCCGCGGCACCTTGAATGACCTGTCACCTCACCAACGACTCGCAAGCTAAGACGACTACCCTGGCAAGGTGAAGGACTCGCGCTACAGGCGAAAATGGTGCAGTATTGTGGAAAGAGAGAGGGCAGCCATGTGAGACATAGCTGAAACATTGCAACAAGAACATTGTCCAAAGTCAACTACGAGCTTGAGCGAAAAGGGAGCGTCAACAATGAAGAAATGATGAGCTATGAGGTCTTCGTGGTGGTGGTTGCTCATGGAACCTTTGCTCGTATCGAAAATGACTGGTGAACCAATAAGATGTGGGTACTGTCCAACAAACCATCCTACAGGCAACCAGAACAAGGCTTCAGTAGGTGCGCCACGAGCTGTTTTATGGTAGTGGTTTTGGTCGTGGTGGCGGTGGTGGTCGTGGTAGCGGTAGCGGTAGCGGTAAGGTGAGGCTCAAAAGTGAGTAAAACCCAATGGATACCGGTCCGATCATCAATGAATTGTCGGCCGAAAAGACCGTATATAAACCCGATCAGCATTTTTTTTTGTGAAACACGACGCGATCATCCATTTCTATTGCCTTGCTGGACATCCACAACAAGAAGGCAAATCGAGATGAAATCACGAAGGTATGATAACACTTTCATTTCTCCTGGCGCTGGTGATTAGATAACTTCCAAGGATCTCGCAGTGAGAAGAATATGCTTACCGATCGCGCGAGAAATACCGCCCGGCTCCGTTCGGCGTTCGCAAGCGTAAACAGGACGCAAGATCGATTAGAGAGTGTACTGTGGAGTTGCAAAGCTACAGTTCGATATCGAGCAGACACTTTGGCATTTCCAGAAGGTAGTGGTGCATGTCACTCGTGGCAGAGATCGAGCCAACAGCACAGCCACGATTGCTCCTTCCTTCGAACAGTCATGATCTCGGCGGCTTCGCAATCAGATTATCGCAGTTTAGCCTCGAGAGGTTAATAAGACGTCATCTCAGTACGTGCCGCTGGCGTTATCTCCTGGAGTTAGTAACGTGTTTAGGCTCCGGTAGAGCGGAACGTGCGCAAGAATCTGAACATGACATCAGAGGAATCTCTACGTGGCGAGTCTTTTGTGGGCCGATATGGACGATGTCGTTATTGGTGGATATTCATAAGCGTAATAAGTGGTGCTGCTGATTTCGTGCGTTCTATAGCCATTCCTTCTGAGTTTGTCATGCTTACCGCTGGCTTAGTGGATGTCGACGATGCTTCGACTACGTCGATGAAAATTTTCTTCTGGCTTTGTTCTCGACTGTACAGGCTTGGAGTTCTATTCGATGTTCCGGATAGGCTTGTATCTGGCCGTTCGCGTCATATACTGCGTTTGCCTTATCGACGTTAGAAGGTTAGACTTCAGTTAAGGTCGTGGATGCACCAGACGCTTTGTTTCCAGTGAGTTATCCCACTTCCTAAACAAAACCGGTCGTCCGATACGACGATAGTATCATGTTACATTCTCAATCTCGTCGCGAAAAGTTCCTTCATCGCCGATTACTCCCCTGTCACTTTGTCCAATCAATGCTCAGAGGCACCTATGACGATGGTCGAGAAAAATCCATGTGAAGATGTTCACTGACGCACCTGCGCAATCGACCTATCGATCTCCTCCGCTACTAGCGTCGCGAATTGAAGGATATGGCTACCAGCATTTTTGGCCCACTGTGCACTGTTACACTGTGAGATGCTCTTCGCGGCCGCTCAGGCAATGATATTTTCACCTAGAGCAACCTCTGGGAGGGGTCGTCCTGACAGGTCCTCCATCACTGCGGAAAGATATTCACCTAACCAACTATGCGCCGCAAAATTTCGCTCCCCTATACGCCAGGACTGAGCTAGTTGCTGCCGGCACAGTCGACATTGTGTTCCGAAGAGTAAAATAGGGACCTCAGACTCTTTCCCTTCCAACCATGGCATGCTCGACGCGGTGGGCCTGATGACCTTAACGGCGATATTACATAATCTGTGGTAATCTCGGAGAGAGGCGTATTGGAAGGCATCAATTCGCTTCAAGTCCTCGAACGGGGTCTCGGTGTCAAGTGGGATGGCAAGCTTGTGTTTTGCCGCCGCTTCGCCTAATATCTTCCATCCATTGGCGACCGCATGAACAAAGACTTGCACTGCCTGTTCTCTTATCAGAGACGACGCAAGCACGGTCTGGACGAAGCGCTCCATGGCATTATCCATGCAGTACTTTTCAAGCGCCGTCCCCACCTCCGCGAGTTGCTTGATGCTCTTGATCTCGGGAGAGGCGTATGGGTAGCAGAGCAGGAGGATAATCCGAAATGTACCACCATCCTCCTTGACCTCGAGAACAGGAAGGCCGTCTCTCTCCTCTGTGTACTGGTTCGTTCGTAGTACGTGACGAAAAAACGAAGATGGGGATTTCAGGGATAGCAGCCCGCTGAGGACGAAGAAGTCGGTGTTGTCGGCGGTGCGGATCACGAGATCAACACTGTCAGTGGGGTCGTTGAAGGGGGCATCGGCAGTTATTGTGTTATGTGGCTGGGCGGTTTCCATTGTCGGTCGCAGATGTATGTGAAGATAAGAGAAGGGGATCAGGTTTCATGCTTCTGGTGGCGCCTCGTGGCTCGGGTGCTTATGTCTTCTGATCGCTGCCGACACTTTCCTGATTCTCTTTCGCCGTCTGATAATTCTACCGTTTAGCAATAGTCCCAGCTTGAGATAAAGCATACTTCGACATAGCGAAAAAGATACGAGGCTGTCAGAGACTCAGACAACGTTTTCACAGAGTAAGGCTCTGAGTGTTCAAGCTCACCATTTGATCTACGAAGCCGTCCGTGCGCTGACAACTGTTGGAGATACATCATGCTTTTCATATGACCTTGGGTAAGTAGACCGCGTCGGAAAAAGTTTGGACGCGTCAGGCGTGTCTTATGTAATGCATACGAAAACGACTTTCCCCGATCGTTAGTTCGTTTGTCCCTTCCCAAATCGTAAGAAACCTCCTCGCAATTCTGCGTCTGAATCGTACTTTTCTCTGATATCTGTCGTCTTGTTCCAACATATGCATGGAATGGATAAAGGTCCACGGCACAGCCACATTCCTTACTCTTTTCGAGTGATCATGCTAGCAGGCCAGTCCACCGACTATCTATGACTCGCTAGCGCATCTTTCGTTGATAATCTAGTATGTTCATCATCAGTTTGATATTCATAGATGCTACGTGTGCTCTTGTATCTCGTGCGTTCTGTTACCATTTCACAACTTACTACTACGCACACTGCAGTGAGTTTAGTCCATGATACCAGTGCCTGGTGTCGTCTCGACAGGTGTAGTAGTTACTATGACGTCGGACACCTGACGATCCGATAGTACGAGTTGGTCACCACACTTCTCCTGTCATTTCGTTT